CCGTGCCCTGACTAAGATCAGCCCAGAGGTTGTTTCAGGATTCAATCTGTTAGTTAGCCGTGCTCTGATTTAGATCAGCCCAGAGGTTTTCAGGGTTGTATCTGTGAGTTAGCCATGCCCTGACTAAGATCAGCCCAGAGGTTGTTTCAGGATTCAATCTGTTAGTTAGCCGTGCCCTAGCTTTGATCTCAGGTTTTTCATATACATGTGATCCATAATGCGTCTTACCGCGGGGTTTTCCCTGATGGTGAAGGCGATCTTTCCAGCCAGGAGTCGTACACAAAACGATCTTTATCTACGGGATCTGGAGTCTTAACCGAACAATGCAAAAATGATCTATATCATACATGTAATATATAATCGATATCGCTTTCTGTATGGAATAGATGGAAGTAATGTTTATTGACATTGCCGTCATGTCATGCTCAATTGCCAATCATTTTAACAACAGGTTTTGTCACTTTCCTTTATTTGATTGTCCAATAGATTTATGGTTGTCAATAACAACCAAAGAAAACAAATTTCGTCATCGTATGCCAACCTATAACCCCCTTGCAGCACTTCGGAATGCAGCTCAACTTGGAGAGCAAAATAGGTTTTTACCGGCGTTTGCAATGCTACGCGGCCACCCCAGACAAAAATCGCGACGTGCACTTTGCAATAGACTGCCGTCAATCAAACAAGTTGACGTCATTTACACGCGTTTGGATCGGCCCCGGATAGGCCCGCTGAGTGTGGCTCATAATACTTGTAAACAATCGACAAGTTTTTGCGCCTTTTGAATCACACACCTGTGTAAATGGCGTCAACGTGTTTGATTGACGGCAGTCTAATGCAAAGTGCATGTCGCGATTTTTGTCTGCGATGGCCGCGTAGCAATGCAAACGCCGGTAATTCTCAGGAGATTCTCTGGAGATTCTTTTGTTTTGTCCTCCAAATTGAGGAAATGGGCAATTTGCACTTAGAGATCAAGTGACTCTCGAATTTCAACCAAGCAGTTGTGTCGCCATGAACTAAACAAACGGAGAAGAATCACGTGATGCGACCTCTTTGTGAAATTGTGAGCTGAGTCAGGAAAAATAATCAGTTTTTTTGGTTTTTGTTATTAAAAGACTCGATGACTACAAGCTGCAATACAGTACTTGGACGATTGACGGCGGCCATCTTGGATCACAAGCATGATGGGGCGTCCCGGGGAAAAAAAAGCTTTGTTACAGTAAAGATGTCGATTGATATTAATGGTTCACTCCAAGAGAATGCAATAAAAGATGAATTAAGACGACACATCGATCACCTTTACACATAAAAGAAAGACGAACACAGGAAACTCTATATCATGATATTTCGTCATCTTTGTTTCGCTTTACCTCCTGGCAAGATGGCCGCCGTATCGTCGAAGTAGTCCATTCGCTATGCGGTATCCATATTAGCCTGCGTCACATTTGGACTTTTTTCTCGGTTAAGTCCGTGGACTTAACCGAGAAAAAGTTCGGATGTGACGCAGTCTATATCCAAATATCGTATTCAAATGTTAGACGTTAACTTTTTAAAGTAGCTGTTCCATCACGCAGTTTACCTTTTTAGCTGCGGCGTAGAGTACATTATGTAACAGTGGACTGGACCAGCTGAGTAGAGTGTAGTTACCTGGCAACGACAAAACAGCTGATGAACACATGGAACAAATGAATATATATACGTCTATTGACAAAGACAATGCCTAATCATATGTTAAAGATTGTTACCCAACAACGATTAGCTTCTTAAGTATTTTGGGTAACATTTACTCATGATTTGCATAAATCTATAAGGTATTCACATTGTAAATATTTTATAACGAAAATAAAAAATCTTTTGTTGCTATTGTTAAATGACAGTGCTATTAGTTAAGAGCAAACATGAYATTATTAATTGTGGCCATTGTGCTTTTCTATTGCGTGTTTTTACACCACGTAATTCATATCTTCCTTGCACTTGTTGTTGCTGCAATTGCTGCGAAAGCTAAGGCCCATTGTACTTCCTGTGTCAGTGACTAAGTCAGTGCAGCAACGTTACAACAAAATTACGATATGAAAATGAAACGAGTGAACTATTCTAACAATGACCAATGCACGACAAGAGGAACAACAGCAACAACAACAAAAACAACAGCAGTAACAATTAACAACAAAACAATTGCAACAACAACAACAGCAAGCAGCAACATCAAAAACAACAACAGCAACAACAACAGCAATAAAAACAAATTACAACGACAACGACAAAAAAGCAAAAAAAAAAAAAAAAAGCAAAAGTAACAGTACCAACAACAATACCAACAAAAAGAAAGAAAGAAAAAAGTAAGCTGCGAGGTATCTGTGGATGTCACTCGTTTTATCATTTTCACTGTTTACAACAAAATACCTCGTACTGGTGAATCAACGTTTAGGTACGCCACTGCACGATAATATAACGTGTGTATGTTATCCTGAAAAATACATTGGAATTAAATAATGTAAGTATAAATAAATGTAATATATAACATTATTATATATAATAATATAATGTAATATATAAATAATGTAAAGAAAACGTTAATCAAAACTTTGTTGATGTTCGCTTAATTCCCTTCCAAGAGAAAAAATTCCATGACGAGAACGGAGTTGTCATTTAGGGAAAACCCGATGTCGTATACAGGCAGCTTGCTCCGTAGTTTTGATAGAAAATGATATATCACAAAAACCATACTGCACCTCGACCCATTCTGTAGACCCTAGAAGACCATACTCTTCACCTCCCCAACTAGCTAGAACGATACTTCGACGTGGTCTCCAGCCTGAAGCCATCGCAAAGAAAAAAGATTTTCAGTTCATATGTATAAAGGAATGAGAAGAATATGACGATGATGAGAAGGAGAAGGAGAAGGAGCAGGAGAGGGAAAAGGAGAAGGAAGAGAAGGAGAAGGAAGAGAAGGAGAAGAAAAGGAAAATCACCTGACCTTTTTTGACTTTTTGGCTCAAGACTTTGGACAGCTCCATCATGCAAGATGAACCACTTGAAGGATCGATTCCACCAAACACCCAGGCATCACGATGGTTACCTAGCAACACAAGCCTATCTGGAAAAAGACAAGGGAATTCTAGGGGTGATCTTTTTCTCATTTAATTAAAAACGTATCTCGACCACCTACTACTGTTACTACCATGCTACCACCACCAACAGCAATTACCATATCTCTTTTCGAACACTATCAACACTACTAACCAACACAACACAATATCCATATCACTACCAACACCCGATCCCCACTACCTCATCATTACTAACCAATATCACTACCAACACCACTCCCCACTACCTCATCATTACTAACCAATATCACTACCAACACCCCTCCCCACTACCTCATCATTACTAACCAATATCACTACCAACACCACTCCCCACTACCTTATCATTACTAACCAATATCGGAGGGATGTAAAAGAACCACTGAGAACGTAAAGATACCCTGGCAGTGACCATCCTCAGTGCCTACACTTAACTAACCACCTCTCATGTTTGTAAGTTGCATAAAAAAGCAATCTGGAATTCACAACTCAATGTAAAGCGCCTTTGATTATCCAGAAAGGGCACTATATAAATCACAAATCATTATCATTATCATTACCACAGTGTGTACCTACACAAAGCGTAACCGTCAACTCGTTTCTTCCGAGGGCTTTTGCAGCCCTGAGGCCACACAAAATGCTTCATTAGTCATACAAAAGGTTATATAAAACCACTTTCCTCTCTTACCAGGCTCCTCTCTTCCCTTGATGACAGCGATAACATTGACTATATCCTTTCTGACGTGGTCATTGTTCGTAACTACCTTGACACTCCTAGCAGACAAGACAATTAACAAGTTCAGAACAATTGCAAAATTATACGAGGGCAGAACAGCTTTAGTCTAGAAACTATATGATACTGTTACTGCGCATGTCGAGGACTCGAGTTTCTAAGACTGTCATACGTCCCTGAAAAAGATCGAATAAGCCTGAAGCGAGATGACGTTTTACCCCCGTCTCTAGACCATAATCCTTTTCGCATTGCTTTTGTTCTTTAATTATGACTATTGTTCCTGTATTCTCTAAGGAATCAAAAATTTTGATATGAAAGAATTTTAAAAACTATTATGGTATAGAGTCGGGGGTAAAACGTCATTTCGCTTCAGGCTTATTGTATTGAATAGGTCCTTTGCAGTTAACGGTCACGTGTCTGTACTGGTGAGCAAAATTTTTTATTTTATTTTAAATTGGAGATTCTTTTTAGTTACTTGTAAAGAACTGAATGAAACGATGTGCAACCAGTGTGTCACGAAATGCAGTTTTATTACGATCTCTCGAAACAGGTTGTAGAAAGTTTGTTTCTTCACCAGTATATTTCACCCATGGGAATCAAGATGTTCATTCATTTACTCTCAGTGAATTAATCAGCACGTGATTACTGAGCTGCAAAGGGCCTACTGGGAATCAAGGTTGGCTCAGCGGTGGTGTACTAGTCTCTCGCCTCTAAAGGTCTTGGGATCGATACCTGGACGCGGCATCGCATGTTAGTTTGCTGCGTCTCTACCTTGATTTGAGGGTTTTTTATCCGGGGTCTCTGGTTTTTCTCCCTGTGCAAGACCTAACACGTTAAATTCGAATTCGATCTGAGAGGTTTGCGGTGCCATGACTTTGATCAGTCCAGAGTTTGTTTCAGGGTAGTGATAACATGGTGTACTGATAGAGGGTCCAGATAATGAATTATAAAAAATAAATAAATAAAAAGCCTCTAACTCCTTGGACACACCCCACATCCTTTCCCTCCCCTCCCCCCACCC